GTGGGGCTTGTACTCACCGGCCCGTGCTCCTAGTCTTTGGCGGCGGGTCCTTCAGTGCCGCCGAAGACCCAGAGGGAGTGAAGGACCCGCCGCCAAAGACTAGGAGCACGGGCCGGTGAGTACAAGCCCCACGTGTTTTTTTTAACGTGGTTTTTTTTTTTTTTTAGTCATCCCTGTCAGGGCCCCTTCTAAACTGTTCGAATCGGGCCCCGCACTTCCTAAAGCCGGCCCTGCTGGTATGGTATTGCCAACCTAACTTCTGTGCTCCTGCCTTCAGAGTTGGGCCATTGGTCAGCAGCCGCTGCTTTCTGGCCGCCCAGCTCTGAAGGCAGCGCAAAAGTAAGGGTGGTAATACTGCGGCATCCGTAAAATAACCTTGTGACCCCTCCCTGAAACTCCCTTTTGGGTCAGGACTCCCAATTTGAGGAACACTGGTCTCCCCCGTGAAATCTGGTCTTTTGTGTGCTTTTACCCTGTTCTATACAGATTTCACGGTCCATGACGTGTTTTTTATAGCCATGAATTTGGTAGAGAATCAATAACCCTTGAAATTCTGATCATATTCAGTTTAACATCCTTACAGTTAGGTGTGTGTATCATTTTTGAACAGCTTGCCAACAACATTATCTTTCTCGTCATATCCTGTAGCTGAGAGTTCCATAGATTAACACATGGACACAGCATTTCCTTCTTTCTTATTAGATTTCTGTCCTTTTATTCTACCTCCCGAGCTCAGAAAACATGGAGCAGCTCAGGGGGTGTTTTGAAAAAGATTTGAACATGAATTAATATACAGAACTCTTCATCTTTTAAAGTACTTTACAAATCTTAACTAATCCTCTCAAGACCTCTGTGAGGCAGGTATTCTCTGTAGTAGAGCTGGGCCTAGGCTGCACATTTGGACATCTGGATCCAGGTTTCCCCACAAGCTCCTCATTATACAGATGGGGAAAATGAGCCACGAAGAACTTGTCCAAAGCTCGAAGTAGCCAGTGTTAGAGGTGGGATTAGATCTCAGGATTTCCTCCCCTCCCACCCCCCTGTTAGATAAAGACTATGGCTTTAACCCAGCCTCATGGATTGTAACTCCTTTTTTGTGCCTTTTCCCCTTCCAGTATTACGCTTCACCTGAAGATTTCCTGCCCATCATCTCCTGCGTTTAACTACTCCCGAAACCCTCTCTGCGGCGTGCCCCAGGTGAAGATAGAGATGGAGTCAGACTATGAAGACAGTGACACAGAAAAGCACCCTCGGGACATGGGCAGCGAGACCACATTGTAGTCCCACACTGTCCTTCCTTTGTGATGATATATAAATAAGAAAATTGGGCCTATTTTTCTATGTGACAAACTGAGGAGATCATTGGTCCCCAGGACCCATTTCTCCATTAGCTTTTAGCAGAATAAATTAGAACTGCTGTGGAATTCCACCCCGTTCAGTTGGGCCAAGAAACCACCGCCAGCTTCAGAGCAATGCTAGGAATGTGGAAATGGTACTTTAGGACTCTGGTCCCTGCAGTAATAGGGGACATTAGACCCTGGGCGGTTGCTGCTATTTCAATGAAGACTCTGAAGATAGCAGGGCCACCTTCCTTCAGCATCTGGACCCTGACATTACCAGCATTGGAGAGCCACACCCTTTCCAGTGCAAGCTTCAACTCCACCATTCTCGTGTAGTCTGTATCCCTATTAGCGTTAGTTGGCCCAGGGAGGATTCACAAATGCTTGAGCAGTAATCTGTGACATTCCGTTGGGGATGGGAGGGGAGATTTCAGGACTGTAAACTGCAGTTTATTGCATGTTTTACACACCATATGCAGCAAACAATGCACACCCCAGAAACAAAACAGGGCTAAGAAAAATTCCCTTTTTGGGACGTTATGGAATGTTTAGACTCTAAGTGGAAAACTTCCCTGGCTGCTGCTTAAAAATACAGCCATAGCCCTTTCAAACTGCTTCTGTCCTGTAGGAAGGTTTCTGTATGAACTCTGTGTTACCCCGTGGCATTCACTCTCCGGAGCTAGGAGCAATTTTAAAGGGTTAGGCTTGTAAAAAGCTAAACTCAGGCACTTCCCACCCTCTCTCTCTGCTGAAGTTATAATGATACTGTTCTAAGCAGACTTAGTCCATGTAACTCCTATTGTTAATGGAGAAACTTGTAAGAGGTTGACACACACAAACTGCCATTGTCCAGGCCAGTCAGGCTGAACTAGCCCACCACCAACCATCAAAGCTGACTCCACCCATGTCACCTGATGTACTAGAAAGTCCTGTGGGTAACCATTACAGGGGCAATGACTGTCTAGCTTTTACTTTGCAGCATGTTCTACTCCAGCAACAGTCTTCCTCGAAAGGACCATCCATACTTTTGCTCAACCCAGCCACATACAAATAACTGTCTGGAAGGTAAGAAGCACTTATGGGCTGTGAAATGTTTGGTTAATCCTAGGGTTAGAGATGGAAGAGCCCTAACTGCTCTAATCCATTCCCTTCCAGCCCAGGCATTATCTAAACAGGAGTGGAGAAATCCACAGGGTGGTATTTTTATGATACATGCCAGAGTCAGCTCAACAATAGAACTTCCTGCTCTGAAAGCACAGGCCCCTGCCACTGGAGCAAAAGAGGGCTTTGCTGTTATAGCATGTCCTATGACAATTGAGCAGTTATGATTCCATATACTAGCCAGATGGTAGCAACAGCAGTCCTGCTGGGAAGTGACTTACATGCCCTTCTCAGTTAATTTTTTAATGAGGAATGAATGTTTGATATGTCAGATTGGATTGCTGGCCTTTTCCCTCCACTAGGCTATTGAGAAAGAGATAGGGATTACGGACAGCTCAGTTAACTGTGGGGGTGAAACTAACAACTTGTGTTGTTGGAATCAGAAGGTTCCATAACTTGGGTGAAAGGCAAATGTCTGCTACTTAGCCTCAATGTAAGTGAAAAGTAGGGTGGTGACCCTATCTTAGCTAACCATAGGCAAAGTGTGTCTAGAAGGGGCAGTGATATACATACATGTCTATTTGTGCCAGTTTTAATTAACAGTTGAGTTGATATACTTCCCAGTTTAGTCAGGGGAGGAAGGCTACGGGGCTCAGAAAAGTTTCTGCAGCTGCAGATTTTAGTGCAACTCCACACCAAGCTCATTCTTGGTTAAGTCAGTGACTTGAAACATGTTTAGTTTTTTTAATTCAAATTATAAGGTGCAGCCTTTGGCAGTAGTCCCTTGAGTGCTGGTTACAGATAAAAAAAAATTCAAGGGAAGCCCTTTCTTAAGAGCCAGTTCCTACTTTTGATTTTCAGTCCCCCCCTCCCCATGCTTTCAAAACCATTAAGGGGCAGGAAATTCAGTTCAGTTACATTGGTGCAAATACAGACCTTAGGTTATTTTGCATTTGAGTTTAGTGCACAGCACTTTAGCTTTTATCTTTATACAAACACCTCAACCCTTACAGTAGGGCATCTTCCTTACTATCACTTTGGCCAGCCCTTGCTTCCTCTACAATTGCCCCTCCCTTAAACATGGCTCTTGCACATACTGCCAGATGATGTGAGCCTGCTTTGAACTGATTTTTAGAAGTCTAGTTCAGATGTGTGGGTTTGCTCTCAAAGGCCTGTTACTAGTTAATCCTTTCAAACTGGCAGCTGGATACTGTTGCAATGGTTAATATGTTACTGTACCTACTCACTCATTGGTGCACTTTTCAGAAAGGAAAGCAACAAAATTGTCTTGAGGGTTTTTATTTTTAGAAAAAATGCAATTGTAAGCTAAGTTCAGAAAGAAATGGAAAAAAATATCAGCCATTTAAGATTGCTGCAAAGAACAAGCCCTCAGTGTTTTGTTATAAATTCCACCTGCATGCATCTTTAAGAGCAGGCTTCATGGTTTTTTAGGATAAAAGAGCCCTGTTTCTGACAAAGTCTACTCTGCAGGGGTTCTGGAATGCTGGTTAAATATTGCAACTGCTTTGAACCCTAGAATGAAACAGATGCTGGTTCTTTGTAAATATTTAAGTGAAGTCCAACAAAAGAAAACTTGAATTCAGTTTCCTATTTATAGTATTTTCTAGCTTGAGTACCCAGCAAGACTGTTTTTGAATGTGAGATTAATAAAACAGTATTACTCCAGTTGACAGTTAAGTGACAGACACTTAATTATTACATGTTAAGGTAAAAACTATTTGAACTTAAAGGTGGTTCTGTATATTTTCTAGTTTATTTTGTATCAGTCTTGTCTGTGGTAGCTAAAGCATGATAGGCTTACAAGCTTAATTACTTTTTAAAAGGTTAATCTACTTTATGCAATATGTCCGTTCAGTTTCAATGTACAAAGCAAATTGAAAAGGCTTTGTTGACTCAACTAAGTGTTCATGTAGCACAAGAATATGCTTGACTTTTAAATCAAGGAAGCTATAAAGTACAGTTTCAGTTTTAATTAAATCCATGCAGTTTTCAATGTCACAGGCTGTTTACACTTTTGTATATGTAAAGTGATTTGAAGAGTACCAGACTTGCAGTCTATTTGCTACTAAATACAGTAGCTATTTTACATTTCATTAACAATCCAATAAATCGCATTAAATTCTCTTCACTTTGTAGTGTGTTCATGATACAAACCAAAATCTTAACTTCCAGAATTTCACTCATATCAAAAATGCATCCCTCCTATACAACAACCTGCTAAGACCAGTCTAGTGGAGGTGGTGGTAAAATCCAGGTAACACTTATATGACTAATGGTGTTCTTGGGCCTAGCAGCACAATAGTTTGCAATAAGACAAGCCTTCAATTCTTGGAGGCTCTCTCAGCTCCAGCAGGTAAGGCAGCAAGTGATTTTATTTATATATATATATATATATATATATATATATA